CCTATTGTGAATCCTTGGCACTTGTAAGTTTGCAAGCCTGTTGAAGTAAAGCTGTTCATAAGGGTTTTAAATTTACTGTAATCATGGTTTTGGAAGTTGTTTCCCTTCACGTTGCTTTGATTTTGTTTTCATGTGCTTTCATTCTGCTGCTGCTGTCAGTTGCTTTCAATTTTTTCCCCACCTGCCAGGTGAGGGTTGTTAGATTTTATCAGAGCTCTCCTCCTCCTCCTCTTCTCCTCCTCTCCTCCTCTCCTCCTCTCCTCCTCCTTCTCCTCCTCTCCTCCTCCTTCTCCTCCTTCTCCTCCTTCTCCTCCTTCTCCTCCTTCTCCTCCTCCTTGCCAGCAAGTTACAGCAAGTGGCAGATCGCAGTGGGCACTAGCGGACCTCAGCCGCCAGCTCCCCATCGCAGTGGGCGCTGCTGGAGCAGCATAACGGCGGCTTGAGTGATTTGCGCTCCATTCACCTTTGAAGCGGACTTGATGACACCACTGCTGAACAACAATCGTCGCTTCTTTGACCTTGCGCCGGATTTGTTTTCTCAAGCACTGCAAGATCGCCAGCGGCTTCACTTCATCGCTGACCTGAGTATCGTGGAACAGCTTATATATGTCAACATCATACTGAATGCCATCACTTCAGCTCCAACTTGAGAAGCATTTTTGCTGATATGTTTGCAAAGCTGGCACTGAACCACTATGACTCACACCATGAGTGCCCGTTTTGCCAGTCACTCGCACTCGGCCGAATCTGCCGGACCTCATGCGCCATGGGCAAGGTGCCAGCAGCATGGAGGACGTCACTTCGATGGCCATGTAGGTACCTGCTGACGCATGGGCGGGGCCTTGCAGACCGGGCAGTCGAACTTGTTGGCATCATCATACTGCGGTGTAGTTCCTCTGGGGTGAGCCCCTTCTCAGGCAGGCACCAAAGTTCAACATTCCAAGCTACCAGGCATGCACATTTGTGCTTGAAGGACTCGTGGCACTATTGGCACGGCAAAGTGCCGTGAGCGCGCTGAAAACCCAAGCTGGCAGCAAGCGCGCGCTCTGTCAACTTGAAGTGATTGTTCGGCAGTGTGAGATGGCTTCTTGCACTCGGCGCAATAAACTTCTTACACAAAATGCATCGGGAACCAAGTCGGTGGACTGGGACTGGATTTCCCAGCGAAAGTGCTCTGAGCTTGGTTCTGAGGCAGGCGGAGCTTCAGGTCTGCTCTCTTGGAACAGGGCAGGAGTTGCATTCGATGCGCCTTCTAAGTGGTGTCCAGTCATGAAAACGTTTGAGGCAGTGAGCACACTGTCAACATGAGTCTTCATTATTCTTCATTTACTTAATGTTTGTAGATGCCGCTGTTCGATATACGGCCTGGCGGACAGGACAATAAGTGAAGAGGATGTTCTCAGCGGCAGCGGGACCAAAGTTCGGCCTCCAGCGCATGGTCAAAAGTTGCTCGGACATCAGCTTCGAGCTCATACTGGAGGGTGTGAAGGATGTCACCCGGTGAGCAAGCACTGCTGTAGTTTGAGTTTCTGACTTTCAAGGAAGGAATGACAATCTCTGTTGGATATACGCGCAATATAATCTCTTAACATCTGACGTTGCATCGGTCAAGGAGCTCTTTGGAGTTTGAAAATGCCAGGCGTGGTACGGTATGCCAGGCATGGTGAGTTTCAAACAATCCACGCATCAAACTGCTCATGACACATGTATTGCACAGGGGTAATCTTTGTTCGCTGCGATCCGAACAGGGCCAAGAGTGGAGCCGTCGAAAAGTGCTCAGCTGTGAAAGAGTGAGGTCTTCAAAGGATAGTCCCAATCTTAATCGCCATTCTGCTCCCGGCTCTGGGTATCAGCAAGTACCAGCCGTCTGATTTGTACAAGGTGTGTTTGGGCCAGATTGAGAGAAGAACCGCAGTTTTGCTGATGTTCGCTTGAAGTTCAAACTCCGCAGAACAAGCTGGAGTTTTGGACCTGCTTGCTATGGATGGCTGTGTGTGGGGGCGAGGCCAGAGACGGCTGCGGGCGGTGCGGTGCGGTGCAGATGAGGTGAGTGTGGGCGCTGTGTGGCGCGGTCTGAGGGTGAGTCCCTAACAGACGCACCGCGTGTCATTGTGACTTCCTGGGCGGGGTTCAAAAACATGAGGAATGATTGAAATGGCATGGGCAGTCCAAAATGGCAGAGGCAAAAGGACTGACGTGGGGAGGACAATCAAAGTAGATTGAACTTGTCGTCCATAGTTTGGTGGGAATCCCGAAAGACCGTCATTTTTTGAATTCAACTTTATCAGTACAAACCCGGCCAGCTGTCCTTTCATGGTCTTGGAAGGCTATAGCGGCGAGAGTTTTACTTGGTTTTGCTTTTGGTTTCTCCGGCCCGCCTTGTTTACTGTCACAGCGGCCCGGCCTGAAGATAAAATTGCTTACCTCGTACCAACCTGGAAGACCGTACATATCGCTTGTTGCAGCAACGGGGGCACCCGGCCGGCAGCCATCGCTTGATTGGATCGTCACGCCGCAATAAAGAAATGTGTTGTTGTTTTGCGACCAACGCTGAGAACAAACTCGGCCCCAAAAAAATAATTTGTCAAGGAAAGCCCCAAGCAAGCAAGTCTTTGTCGAATCCCAGCAGGAATATGCTGCAACGGCCCCGAAAGTAAAGGAGAACTTTAAGGCTTGCCAACCACAGCCGGCTTGAATGATGTGGGGCCACGCTGCGCCGTGCCGTTGCGGCGCGTGCCCAATTCATCGCCAACAACACGTGGCTGAATACAGTCACGCACCTGGGGGCGCGCCATTTGCGGCCAAGTGGTGGTGTGGCAGCTGGGGAGCTCTATATAGCTGTCGCTAGGCACGGAGCGCTTCCGGACCGGGGTGGTGCCCCTGACTTGTTGCTGGCTACAACGGAAGGGGGGAAGTTTGACAAGGAGGACAAGGGCGCCAGAGGCAGCGCTAAAGCAAGAAGGAAGTGACGGGCGAAGAAAAGGAGCAGTCAGGGCCAAGAGCGTCGAAAGAGAGACAGACAGGAGCAGCCAGTCAAGAGTGAGGAAGGGAATCGCCAGCAGCAGCAGCAGCAGCAGCAGGCGAGGCTTCTTTGGGTGAGGTTATAACGAGAGCCCCTTTTGAGCGGGCAGGTCGCTTTGGGTTTGGGCGTCTTATATTACAAAGGCTGAAGGGCGCGGAGGCCCTGGACAACGGACAGACCTGGGCCTCAGTAATTGTTGATTCCGATTGACTCAAGGGAGATCAGGAACAAGTGAAGGCCCCATTCAGGCACCGCGCGTTTTCAAGGCCGAGGCACGTTCAACACGCAGGTTTCGGAGCGTTTAAAAAAACGAGCGGCAATCCCACGCGGCGGTACCAAACACCGCGCAAACGAAACAACAAAACCAAACACAAAACCGTCCAAACATCCGACACCTTCGTCATCCTGGGAGCCAAAAAAGACGCAGTGGAGACTACAACAACCTCGTGGTTTTTAAAAACCAGCGTGAGTTGGCGGAAGAAAGACTCCGTGCTTCACGAAGGTGGCGAGCCATCAACGCCAACGTCGATCGATGGGTAACATCAACTGCAGCAAGGATGGATCCTCGCAAGTGGGAGGCAGACACTTGTCGCGAACGTGAGGTACAAGGTCAACATCATGGACGGCGTCTTCAGCACAATTCCGGACACCAACGTGGAGGCAGGCAGTCTTCCACGTTGTCGTTTTTGTCCACGCCACTCAACTTTTTCAATTGGGTCGAGCCATGACACGTCAGCCTCACCGAGGAACAGCGCAAGCATTTTGCAAGGCCCGTTGGCCGCCTGGCGTGCGGATTGCATGAGGAAGGACAGAAGCTGAATCTGCGAGACATCATCGGAGAGGGGGAGAGCCGAGAACGTCATCCTGGAGGGCATCAAGGCAATCACAAAGGAGACGGACGTGATGGACACGCTGCTGAAGCGCGCATCAGTGAGTTGAAGCATGCACTGTGTTTGAATCGGAAGATCCAGATGCATGGATCGAAATGCACTACTCCAGTGGAGAGGACAATGAGAGCTCAGAGAACGAAGAAGTCGAAGTGGAAGAACAAGAAGATGGTGAAGAGTATGAAGAAGTGGAGATTGAAGAAGAGCCCAACACAACAGATGACGAAGAGAAAGAAAACAGAACACCAGAGTGAAGGTCAGCGACAAAGCAATCAGTGCTTGAGGCACAGATGAGACCCACTCTGAGAGTTCGAAAGTTTCACAATGGAATTTAGAATGTTTTGAAAAGGTGGGAGTCATCCTGGGTGCTGACTCCCAAGGCGGGGTGACAGAAGTGAGCATGTGCACCCTGCGCCAAGGATGACACGCACAAATCATGAGCGCGCATGAACCTTGCAATGTAGCGGTTCGAGAGTGTGGAAAAGGTCCGCATTTTTCAGAAATTTGCACAGCGCAACAGAATGATGCGCTGGAAGGGGTCATTATTTTTCTGCTTCCCAAGACGTTCAAACACAGATACATACTTCAAAAGGAGTTCTTGCTGTTGCATCCTTTTCACAGAAGTACAGATGATTGGCAGTGGCTGCTATGTATATATACACATATATATATGTGTGTGTATAATTATACGTCTTTCCTATGGGCAAAATGGAAGTCCGTGGCAACTCTTTGCAGAGGTTCTATGTGAAAGCTAACTTTCAAAACTACGGTTCCTCAACAAGGTGAATGGTGTATCCTAGCTAATAGCCTTCAAAATCAGCGTAGCCGCTGGCGGCCTTTGTACAATCTGGGGTTTAAGGCATTCATCCAGCATGAATATGGCGCATATGCGCGTATACAACTCACAGCTTTGTATTGACCTTTGTTGCACACAGCCGAGAATACCTTGGCTCGAGCAAAACACGGTTTAGCTAGCTGCGACTGCGTCTAACCAGATGTCATTTGCAGTTGACGCTAGCAGATCAGGCACAGGTCGCGCCTCTTGTCCAAAGCACGTTTGGTGAGTAGAACACCAAACACACAAGGTTTGAGAGGACTCCTACCGTAGGTTCATTATATGCGGCGGCCTTTGAAAATGGTCTTGCTGATATGGCTGCGCAGACCCACCACAAAAGGCCCAACCCCCACAAGGAGTTTCGTGTTCAAACTTGAGCGCCAGTTTTGCTTAGGCTGGTGTTCATCCTATCACGATGTGCCACCCATTCTTCCTGACATCGTTCCAAGTTGTCCATTCATGCCATGCTCCCAGTCTTTCAGGCCGACCTGAGGGCATGAGGCATGGTTTGAGCCCCAGCATTTGGCTCAGCGAGGATGCGGAATCCAGGAGTTGGTGAAAGATATGGGAAGATGACTGGGGGTTGTTCGCAAGCAGGGTCGAAGAGGCCACCAGCCTAAGCCATTATAAAAATAGAATCCCTCGACAGCTGGTACTTCAAGTCAAGAGAGTACGTTCGATGTGAATGTTAGAGTAAGTAGTGGGGTTGTACTGTAGATGCCTCTTTACCAAACTAAGGTTAGCTTTCTGAGCGAAAGCAGCTCAGCGGCAATTCAAGTTCATGTTTTGAAGCCAAGGCCTTTTAGAGCCAAGGAAGTCTCTGCAGACAACCCCAACATGTACTGTAATGTTACTGTATGTAATGTTGCGTAACGCTATGTAATGTTATGTAACGTGATGTAACGTTATGTAATGTTGTGTATGTGTGTATGTATGTATGTATGTATGTATGTATGTATGTATGTATGTATGTATGCATGCATGTACGCATGTATGTATGTATGTAGGTATGTATGTATGTATGTATGTATGTATGTATTGATGTATTGATGTATTAATGTGATGTAATGTAATGTAATGCAATGTAGTGTAATGTAATGTAATGTAATGTATGTATGTATGTAATTTTTCTAGAGTTGCAAGTTTCGAGGGCCCTTTTGGCCGGGTTCTACCGTTGCAGCCACATCAGTAGGGCTTGTGCATGTGGTAGGTTGGTTCCTTCAGAAGAAGTCGACGTCAAATCCTGCTTGTTCATCTGCCGTCGCTTCAGCTCCTCCTGGAAGGCTGGAGTTCATGGCCAGCGCAGGCAGCCTTTGGTTGAGATCTTCTTGATCTTGATCGTCCAAAGCGGTTTGGAAATTGAGACGCTTGGGCGTGGGTTTGGCAGTTGTTGCCTCTGGTGCCTGTTGGGTGGATCCTTGGCTGTGGCTGCTTGTAGTGTCTTTCTTCTTGAAGAAGTCACTGAGCGGCGGTGAGCCTCTGTTGGATGCACCTTTGCATGGCTTGCGCGAGGCCTGGGTGGCTATGAGTCGACGTTGGCCACCCAGGTTCCATTGGACCCCACATTGCGCGCACTTGACTTTCTCCCCAACTTGCCATAAGGCATGGCTTGGATGGCCTGGGTGGTGTTCTTGGAATTCTTGGTTCACACATGGACTCTGGAGGAAGGTTATGTATGTATGCATGTATGTACGTATTAATGTATTAATGTGATGTAATGTAACGTAATGTATGTAATGTATGTATGTATGTATGTATGTATGTATGTATGTATGTATGTATG